GTTTCTTCACAGATGCTGCCAGACCTGCTGTGCTTTTCCAGCAACTTCTGTTTTTGTTGCACTTTTCCTGATGTGTTGTGGTTGGAGAAATGGATAGTGATGGTAGAGGCTCCAATGTTCTTTCCATTGAATGGATCTCTCCCAATCTTACCTCCTGTTATTGGCTTGTGTTGGAAGGATTGACAATGAGCCTGATTGGTAGGATTGTTAACACACCTTCCTCGAGCATCGAGTCCTGGAATGGGCCCTGAACCCAGAGTTTCTGGCTCCAGGGTAGGCTTGCTACTCACTGTGCCACAAGATCTGTTCATCGTGGGGTAGTAGTGGGCTACAAATGTGAAAACAACACCAGGAAATATGCATTTGCTTCTGGATGTTAAACAGCTCCTCTAGCATCACCATGTTCGTCATAAAGAAAGGTGGAATACCATTTAGAGGGCTCTTTGAGCCACCTGGTGGCTGAGATGGTATGTAACTGTGAGGTAAGGTACACAAGTTCTGATTACATTGTTTATCCACCCTGCGAAAAGTAATTAAGTTCCTATGTATGACTGAGGAAAAAGAAATTGTTTCCTGTTAGGAACACCAGCAGGACCGTGTCTTTTGCCCATTTCTGCATTTATATAGCATCTTTCACAGAGTTGGGTTATCCCTCAAGTCGCTTTGGAGCCAATGAAGTACTTGTAAAGAATTCAAAATCTTGAGTTCAGACAGAGCAGGTAGATTGAAACTGTTTCAAAATGACAGGTCGAGAAGCAGGGGACGTTTGTAAAAGGTGCGTGACGAAAGAGTTTGTGGCAACGTGAGGGTAAATCTTTTCACATGGTGAGTAGCCAGGATCTGGAGTAGACAATGTGTGGGTGTGATGGAGTCAGGATCAATGATCCCTTTCCAAAGTGGGGGTCGATAAGCAACTGAATGGAAAATATTAGCAGGGAATAAAAGCAGAGGAGTGGGAATTAGCTAACCTGCTTTTACTGGGAGCCAGCAATAACATGACTCATCTCCTTTGCTCTAACCATTCTGTAGTTTTATTTTATCAACAACATTAGCAGGACACAAAAGCAGAGGAGTGGGGATTAGCTAATTTTTATTGAGGGATAAATATTGACCAGGACTCTCGGGATAATGCCTGTACCCTAAGAAGCTGGGCGATCAGACTTCTCTGACCATTACCATCATTATGTTGTTGATATTCCTCCAAGGACGTTGGGCCCGGAATTTGAGAATATTGACGTGCAGTGGTGAGGGAAGAATGTGTGACTTGGAGCAAGTACTGCGTGTTCTCACGACATTGCTGCTCTCGTTTTTCCCAATGCTGGCGGTCGCAGGGGGTGGGGAGGTAGATACTGTCAAAATAACTTTGGTGAGTCACTCCTGTGATTCTATATATAATCCACACTTCAGCCACAGAGTGCCAGTGGTGAGGTGAGCGGATACTGAATCAAGTGGGAGGTGTGCCATTCAAACCAGGATCCACACTGGAAAGTTTCTAGCTTCCTCTCTGTTGTTGCATCCGCACCCTGGCAAGTGGTGGATATTTTATCTGACCTGACATGAGGATTTGTAATTCATGAAGAGGTTTTGAGCGATCTGGAAGTGAGCCACTAATAGCAATTGCTTCCAAGTTTCTCTCCAGGCCACACATTATCCCACCTTGTGTATATATTCTGTGTACATATAAAACCCTTACTTTTATTCACCCAGATCTATGCATCCTGGTCAATATTTATCCCTCAATAATTTATCAATAAAAATAGATTATCTAGTTATTAACATATGATTGTTTGGGGTAGCCTGCATTTGCGCACCTTAGCTGCCATCTTTCATACATTAAGATGATAAAATAAAACTACAGAATGGTTAGAGCAAAGGAGACGAGTCATGTTATTGCTGGCTCCCAGCAAAAGCAGGTTAGCTAATTCCCAGCTTTTATTCCCTGCTAATATTTTCCCTTCAGCTGCTTATCCAATCCCCTTTGGAAAGGAATAATTGACGCTGACTCTGTCACACTCACAAGCTTCAACTCCGGACCCTGACCACTCGCGGTTTACCCTCACGTTGCCATGAACCCCCTTATCATCTATCTTTTATAAACCTCTCAGTTTTGACACAGTTTCAAGCTACCTGCTCTGTCCAAACTCAAGATTTTGAAAAATGCATCTCTTTGTGAGTACATCAGTACAATCAGGATGGGGTAATATTCTATCATCTTGAAGTAACCGTGTTTGTATCTTTATTTAAAGCTTTCCAGACTTCAACGGGAATGCCTTATGGAACAGTAAACCTCATGAACGGAGTTAATCCCACTGAGACCCCAGTCACTTGCACTGCCGGTATTGGCACCTTCATTCTGGAATTTGCCACTCTCAGCCACCTGACTGGTGACCCTGTATTTGAGGAAGTGGCAAGGAAAGCGCTGGATGCACTGTGGAACAGCCGCTCGGACATTGGCCTCGTGAGTGTTTCTAGCCATTCCCCACCTCTTCCCTTCCCCACTACCCCTTTTCCCCCTCCTCCACCCTCGCCTCTTCTTCACGCTGCCTTTGATCATCAATGTGTAATTACATGGAGGTTTGATTTCTCCCACTAGGGGTGGGCGCTTTTTCGCTTGGCATCTTTGCCACGCATCTGTGGATGCTCTCTTTGATATCAGCACCCAAACACCGAACCAGCAGCTGCTGTGAATTCATTAACCTTCACACATTCGCTCTGGAATTTCTGCACTCGCATTCTGACCTCTTATGCATCCCACTTTAAATCACTCCATCTGTATAACTGTACCTTCAGCTGCTGAGGTCTTTAAGCTTCGGAGTACCCTCTGTGCTTCTCTTTTCTTCTTTTAAGACACTCCTGGAAACTTGTCTCCTCAACCACCTGCACAGATATCTCCTCATATGGCTCTGTGTCAAATTTAGTTTGACAACATCCTGTGAAGCACTTTGGGGTTGTTTCAGTAGATTTAATGCAATTTGTCGTTTTTCTTCACATGATGTTGTCTCTGCAAGTTTGGCTCCCTGGCTCTCACATTCGGACGGTGCTGAGCTAAGAGATTGTTGGTTGATCACCGTGAGGGTATAGGAGCAGAAGCAGGCCATTCAGCCCATTGAGTCTACTCTGCCATTCAATGAGATCATCACTAATTTGATAATCCTCAACTCCACTTTCTTGCCTTATCACATAACGTTTGATTTCCCTTACTAAGTATAAGTTTATCTATCTCAGCCTTGATATGCTGAATGACCCAGCTTCTACAACCCCCTGTGGTAAAGAATTTCAGATTCAGAGAAGAAATTCCTCCTTATCTCTGTTTTAAATATGCAACACCTTATTCTGATATTATAAGAGTTGGGAGCAGAAGTAGGCAATTCAGTCCTGGAAGCCTGCTCCACCATTTAATATGATCTCGGCTAATCTTATTTTGGCCTCAACTCCATTTCTGGCCTGCCCCCCCATAACCCTTTAACTCATTAGTAATTATAAGATGATGCCCTTTGAGGCCCAGATTCTTCCAAAACAGGAAACAACCACTCTACCTTTTCATGTTTCTTAAGAAATCTTAAATGTTTCAACAAGGTAACCCGCATTCTTCCAAAGTTCACTGAGTAGAGACCCATCCTACACAACCACTCAGTAGAAAATGCCTCTATACCTGGGATTAATCTGGTAAACCTTTGCTTGGGCTGCCACCAAAGCCAGTATATCTTTTCTTGCGTAAGGCAAGCAAACAGTGGGTGGGATGATCTTTAGAGGTTCAGTGCAGACTCAGTGGGCTGAATGGCCTCTTTTCACACTGTAGGGATTCTATGATGCAAAGCTGTTCACAGCGTTCTAGGTGTGGTCTGACTAATGCCCCGCATAGCTTTAGCAAGAACTTGTATTTTTATATTCCATTTGCTTTGAAGTAAAGGCAAACATTTCATTTGCCTTCCCAATGACCCACTAACTGATACAGTCCAAAGACAAATACTGACATGCATTAATCTACAGAGCAGCATGTGTACCACACACAACCGTTTAGTTCCTGTTCCACTGCACTCTTAATTGTAAATACAAGTTAGAAGTGAATTATTCCAGAAATTACTGTAGGTTGAACTTTGGTCCATAGACAGTCTGGTTATCAATTGCAAAGTCAGATTTGTCATTAATGTGATTTGACGTATGTTTCTTTGCAGGAAAGAGTTGATTGTTTTTTGTTTTTTACAGTTAATTAGTCATCCATTGCTCCTGTCATGCCTTTACTGTTACTGACAAAGAATCTACCCCCTTTAAACTCAGGAATTCCACCTTCAACATTGCTCCCTCTGTCTCCACCTTGTCTGTCTGTCAAAGCTTACCTCTTGCGCTAGTGCCTCCCTGAGCAACTCAGTGTTGAATTTTGTTTGATAACGTATTTTTATTCATTCACGTAATATGGGCACCACTGGCAAGTGTTTGTTGGCCATCTCCAAATGCCCTTGAGAAGATGGAGGTGAGTTGACTTATTGAGCCACGGCAGTCCACGTTGTGTCGAAACATCCACAGTGATATAAGGAAACAAATTCTGGATTTTTGACCCTGTGACAGCGAAGGAAAGACTATGTAGTTTTTGTGAAGCACCTCAGGGTGTGTTATTGTATAGGTGCTAAATCGATACTAGTTGATGTTGACCAATGGTTTTCCACAGGCTGGTTTGCCTTTGGTTTTGAAGGAGCCAGATCTGGAGCTTTGTGTAAAGGGAATCCATTTGCTGTTTTTATAAAATCCCTGCAGTGTGGAAGCAGGCCATTTGGTCCATCGAGTCCACACCAACCCTCCAAAGAGCCTCCCACCAGACCAAACCCCCTACCCTATCCTTGTAACTCTGCATTTCCCATGGCCAGTCCACCTAACCTGCACATCTTTGGACTGTGGTAGGAAACTGGAGCCTCCAGGAGAAACCCATGCAGACACGAGGAGAATGTACAAACTCCACACAGTTGCCTGAGGCTGGAATCCAAACTGGGTCCCTGGCCCTATGAGGGAGCAGTGCTAACCACTGTGCCGCACCTTTGCTGAGCTGTTTCAAGAATGTGGAGCTGTGGAAGTTCTTTAAAACAACTCTTTGTGACCCTGCAAAGAGGTTGGTCTGACAGTGCTGCAGGTGTTGCAGAGCGGTGCTTCTACAAAAGTCTACAAATAATGAGACACTTTCCTTTTAAATACATGCAAAACATGCCTTGTCTGGGAGGGGATAGGCTGGCGGGTATGTACAAAAGGGAGGGTACCACTGCCTGCAAGCCACATCCCATCCTGACTTGGAAATATTTCACCATTCCTTCAGTATCACTGGGTTAAAATCCTGGACCTCCCTGCATAACTGCACCATGGGTGTACCCACAGCCCAAGGGCTGCATTGGTTCAAGAAGGCATTCTGCACCACCTTCTTGAGGGCAATTAAGGATGGACAGTAAACGCTTTGAACAAACAAAAACAAATCTCATTTCTGAACTGACACCACTTCATTTGTTTCAATGACTGTAAAATCCGGATGTATTGAACTGGATCTTGTCTCTCCCTTGCCTCTTCCACACCCACACCCCTCCTTTCATATAGGTTGGAAACCATATTGATGTGGAAACGTCAAAGTGGGTGGCCCAGGATGCTGGAATAGGTGCAGGGATTGACTCTTACTTTGAGTATCTGGTGAAAGGAGCCATCCTATTGCAAGACGAGAAGTTGATGTCTTCCTTCCTTGGTAAGGATTGTGGTCCGTTAACCTAGCTTCTGTCGCGTGATTTCCTCAGCCATTGTTTGACACCTGGGACAAAATATATGGGTGGCGTGTTGGCTGTGAAACTCATGTCTTGGTTTATACCCGTCTTACCATGAGGCAGAGTAAAGCGCAGTTTTCCCCTCTATCCAACCTGAAGTTTTATCTCACCTGATCAGCTCAGAAGCTTGATCAGACAGTAGATAGCTATTTACTCTTCAGTTGCACTTATTTGACTTGGATTGTTGAGTTCTGTCCTTTTCCAAAACAAGAAGAAAGGCGTGCGGGATTGAATTTGAATGTGTTTTGTTCAGAAGGTTGAATGTGATTAACATCATGCTTTAACTCTGTGTGGATTAAAGCACGGGCCTGAATTTCCTGGATTGCAAAGTTTACATTGACCTTTATGTTGGCTGGTCTCTGTACCAATGTGGTCAGGACGAAACTTGCATCAAAACTTCTGGCTGATCTCCCTTGCATCAGCGTAGACCAAGTGTAGGTGCATTCCTGAGGGCAGGAGTAATGGTGAAGGCTGTGCTGATTCCCAGCACTCTCCCAGCCTCTTGCTTCTGCTCCACCTCTTCCAATAGCTACATAGAACAGGAGCGTTTCCGTTGCTGAAGGCCATTTCATCTGTACAGTCATTGAGTCATAGAGACATTGAGATGTACAACATGGAAACAGACCTTCAGTCAAACTCATCCATGTTGACCAGATATCCTAAATTAATCGAGTCCCATTTGCCAGCATTTGCCCCATATCCCTCTAAACCTTTCCTATTCATGTACCCATCCAGATGCCTTTTAAATATTGTAATTGTACCAGCCTCCACCACTTCCTCTGGCAGCTCATTCCATAGCCATCTATCTTCTGCATGAAAAGGGTCCCTTTTATATCTTTCCATTAAGTATAAGTCCTGACCTGATTTGCCCTACAAAAATATAGCACCTCGCATTTATCTAAATGTAACTCCACCTGCCACTCTTTAGCCTATTGGCCCACATGATCAAGGTCCTGTTGTACTCTGAGGTAACCTTCTTCACTGTCCCCTACGCCACCAATTTTGCTGTCATCTGCAAACTTATTGCCATATCTCCTATAATCCCATCCAAATCATTTATCTAAATGACAAAAAGCAGCAGACCCAACACTAATCCTTTTTGCACACCACTTATCACAAGCCTCAAGTCTGAAAAGCAACCTTCCACCACCACCCTCTGTCTCCTAACTTCTAGCCAAAGTTGTATCCAAATGGCTAGTTCTGCCAGTATTCCATGTGACCTAACCTTGTTAACCAGTCTACCATGTGCCTTCTGGATGTATGGAGTTGGGGTGGGGAATGAAAAGTCACTGCTACATTTATAGTGACAGCACCATTGTTAAGAATGTAGGAAAAGGTCGTTTTTGAAATGTGAAAATTGCTATTAAATTCTTGAAAACACAAACTCTCACTTAAGCCAATATTGGGTGCCTTTGAGCCATATTGCACCTGAACTGATAGATGTAGACCCACACTGCCTAATCCTTCACGGGGAATTTCAGGAAATTTGCATGAACTGGTATTGAGGTGCTAACAGAAGTTTTCAAAACAATTCTCTTGGAATTGATACAAATGATTGAAGAAATGAATGCCTTTTGTCATTTCTGTGTTAATTGATTAAATGCACATTTTCTTTAGGAGCTGAATAGTTGCTCTTAAAGAAATTGGAGGGTTTGAGCTGTGGGGAGAGGCTTAATAGGCTGGGGCTATTTTCCCTGGAGTGTCGGAGGCTGAGGGGTGACCTTATAGAGGTCTATAAAATCATGAGGGGCACGGATAGGGTAAATAGGCAAGGTCTTTTCCCTGGGATGGGGGGAGTCCAAAACTAGAGGGGCATAAGTTTAAGGTGAGAGGAGAAAGATTTAAAAGGGACCTAAGAGGCAGCTTTTTCACACAGAGGGTAGTGCACGTATGGAACGAGCTACCAGAGGAAGTGATGGAGGTACAATTGTAGCATATAGAAGGTATCTGGATGGGTACATGAATAGGAAGATTTTAGAGGGATAAGGGCCACATGCTGGCAAATGGGACTAGATCAATTTAGGATATCTGGTCAGCATGGACAAGTTGGACCAAAGGGTCTGTTTCCATGCTGTATATCTCTATGAATCTATGACGGTATAACAATGAGAAGAAAGAACAATACAGGCTACCAAGACTTCATCAACTCATAATGCCTTTCTAAACTAAAAAACTTTTGCCTCTATGTGGTCCATATCCCTCTGTTCCCTGCCTATTCACGTATCTGTCAATATGCCTGTTAAATATTACTATCATATCCGCCTCCACCATCTCCTCTGGCAGCACATTCCAGGCATTTACCACCCTCTGTGTAAAACAAAAACCTGTCTGTCACATTTCCTTTAAACTTATCCCATTTTACCATAAACCTATGTCGGCTGGTAATTGACATCTATACCCTGGGAAAAAGACTCCCGACTATATATTCTTTCCGTGCCTGTCATCATTTTGTAAACTTCTATCAGGTTGCCCCTCATCCTTCACTGCTCAAGTGAAAACAAGCGACGTCTGTCCAATCTCTCCTCATAGCTAATCCCCTCCAAACCAGGCAACATCCTGGTAAATCATTTCTGTACCCTTTCCAAAGACTCCACATCCTTGTTGCAGTGTGGCGACCAGAACTATACACAGTATTCCAAATATGGTCTAACAAAAGTTCTGTGACTTGCCACTCTTTATGCTCTATGTCCTGACCAATGAAGGCAAGCATGCCATATACTTTCTTGACCACCTTATCCACTTGTGTTGCCACTTTCAGGAAACTGTGGACCTGTATGCCTGGATCCCTCTGTACGTTGATACTACTAAGGGTCCCACCATTTATGCTACTAAGGGTTCCACATTAGATCTTCCAAAATGCAACACCTTGCATTTGTCTAATATAAACTCCATCTACCATTTGTTTGCCCAAGTCTCCACCCTATCCATATCCAGCTGTATCCTGTAGCAATACTCCTCAGTATCCTCACCTCCCACAATTTTTGTACAAACTTATTAATCAGGTCGCTTACATTCTCCTCTGAATCATTTATGAATATGACAAACAACAGGGGTCCCAGCAGTAATTCCTGCAGAACACTACTGGTCACAGATCTCCAGCCAGAAAAACACCCTTCCACCACTACTGTCTTCTATGACTAAGCCAGTTCTGTATCCATCTTACTGCAGATCACTTGACTTCACCCTCTGTATTAGCTTGGCATGAGGGGCCTTGCTAAAGTCAATAGACAACATCTCCATCCCGACCCTCATCAGTTATCTTTGTGACTTCCTCAAAAAACTCAATCAAGTTTGTGAGCCCAACCTACCCCACACAACGAGATAGCAAGAACTGCAGATGCTGGAGTCAGAGATAACATAGTGTGGACTTCAGTAGAAGGGTCCCAACCCGAAACATCAACTTTCCTGCTCCTCTGATGCTGCCTGGCCTGCTGTGCTCCTCCAGCTCCACACTGTGTTATCTGTACCCCTCACAAAGCCATGCTGTTTGTCACTAATAAGTGCATGTTTTTCCAAAACCTCTGAGAATCTTCTCCAATAATTTCCCTATCATTGACATAAGGATCACCGGCCTGTAATTCCCCAGATTATCCCTGTTGTTCTTCTTAAACAAGGAGCAACTCCAACTATTCACCAGTCCTCTAGGACTTCTCCTGTGACAAAAAATGTACTTCTTACGGTGCGTCTCTTTTTAGACATTCCACTCGGTGTTGTTATGCTAACTGTGTAAATGATTTCCTCGTGAGTAACACACATATGCAGGTTTAATGTGATATTATCCTCTGATTAACTTGTGAAATTAGACAGGTTGAACACTAGATTGAAAATGGGTCATATTCAGTGTAAACAATTGTACTCCCAGGAGAGATTAAACCCCTTTGAGAAGTGGATATTTGTACAATGCGTACTTTCAAAATTTTCCTTGTATAAGTTGGAACATGAAGACAGTGATTACTGTCACACTGGTGGGACACAGCGTTCTGGACTGAATGTAATTTGTCAATGCAGCCACTAAATGAGTGTCATTCTTTGTGGCAAATACCAGTTGTCATGGAAATAAAGTAAGTTTTGTTTTGGGATTTCTCCCTCTTTTTCCAAGAAAAAAAAACCCATCAATTTAGCTCCTTCCTATAATGTATTTCTTTTTCTTTTATAGACTATGAAAAAGTTATTAAGAATTACACAAAGTTTGATGACTGGTATGTGTGGGTTCAAATGTACAAAGGTACCGTCTCCATGCCTGTCTTCCAGTCTCTGGATGCTTTCTGGCCAGGACTCCAGGTCAGAATCACTGGGCTATCGGGTTTAGCTCTGTCCTCTCATCTCCTGTTTTATGGTTTTCTTTCGTGATTGTGTTTCCAATTCTGGTCACCAAGGAAGGACGAGAGGGTGGAGAGGAAATCTGTCTGAACGTCACTGGGAAATAGGGAGATCAGGTTAGATTGGAGAGGCAGTGGCTGTACCAGGACTAAAGGAAATAGAGGGGAGACTGTGAGGTGTACAAAATTGACGTGCTTAGATAGGATAGACAACAAATGGCTGTTCCCATTAGCTGATATATTAGACCATATTAAAATCCTGTGCAAGAAAACCTGGAGGGATGGAAGCAAGAATGTTCTTACACAGCAAGTTGCAATCACCTGCAACTTCCTGTCTTACCAGAGTGGTGGAAGCAGTGACGATAAGTGATTTAAAAAGGAAAGGGGATGGGCACTTGAGGGAAATTAAACTGCAGGGATAGTCTGGAAAAATGGAACTGACTGTTTGGATTGCTCCACAGAGAGATGGCTTAGACTCAAAAGGACAAATGGCCTCTTCCTGTGCATTTATGACTCATTTCCTTTCTTTCTTATCAACTTTGAAGTCGGCTGTATTTTCGCTGCAAAAATGCACTTCTGCTAACTACGGCTTGGTACAGATATCAGATCTGTAGTCATTGCTGGCCCAATCCAGACAGAACAAGGCTTTTGAGGAGAGATTAGGGAAGCTTGGATTGCTCTCCTTTAAGTAGAGAAAGTCAGGGGGAGATTTAACAGAAGTGGTGGAAATTGAGGGATGGTGCTAAAGCTGAAAGACTCCTAATGGCTGGGGTTAGGTTCAGCTCTGCTAAAAGAAAGACTTGCATTTATATAGTGTTTTTCATGACTTCCACATGTCCCTAAAGTGCAGCCAGCTCCAGCAAACAGCAATATGACAGCGACCAGATAACTGTGTTTTTAGCAAAGTTGATTAAGTGATTAATATTGATGAGAGTGATGGGATTAACTGCTTGGCTCTTCAAAACAATGCCATGGGATCTTGTACGTCAATCTGAGAGGGCACAAAAGGCCTCATTTTAAACTTCCTTTGTAAAATGGCACCTCTGACAGTACAGCACTCTCTCATACTGAAATGTTAGCCTAGATACTTTTGCTCGAGCCTCCTCAGTGGGACTTGAACCATCCTGATAACAATGCAGCTGAAATCAGCACTTCTCCAGACTGGGATAGAATTCACGCACCCACACCACTCAGCAGGCTGGAGTTGTAGCAACATGAAACCAACAAGAGCAGACCAAGCTGGGAATTCTGTGGCAATAGCTCACCTCCTGACTCCCCAAAGCCTGTCCACCATCTACAAGGCACAAGTCAGGAGTGTGAAGGAATACTCCCCGCTTGCCTTGGATGTGGACACCACTCATGAAGTTCAACACCGTCCAGGAAAAAGCACCCGCTTGCTTTGTCACCTGCTCCATCACCTTAAACTTGTATTCCCTCCATCACCAAGCGGGACAGTGTTTCCTGTCTACACGAAGCACAACTGCAACTCAGCAAGGCCCCTCCAACAGCACCTTGCAAATCTGCAAACCACCTCGAAAGACAATGGAGCAGATGCTTGGGAACAACAGCCACTGGCAAGTTTCCCTCCAAGCCACGTACCATCCTGACCAAGTTGTCATTCCTTCATTGCCACTGGGTCAAAATCTCAGATTGCCCACCCTTAACAGCATTGTGGGTCCCTGAAAAATACAGTCTATAGCAGTTCAATAATGGAGTTAGTCGTCATAAGCTTTGTTTATAAACACAGGTAGTTCTGCTATAACGTGTGTTTCGTTAACGGGAATTGGCTGTAACGCAATTGATGAATAGTGGAGGTTGTTTGGATAACATGAACTTTCTGCTGTACAGGTATAGCTTTTCAAGGGCACTTAGGAATAGAATGGGCTGGTCTGGCCAGCAATGCCATGTCTAACACAAGGGAAAGAGAGATAGATTATTCTATAAAACATTAACTTGTACAGGTAGTTCTCCTATAACACAGTAGTTATGTTCTTGTGTGACCTTGTGCTATAGAAAATTGCACTATAGAAAATTGCATTATAGAGAAATCGCTATATCCGTACAGCAGAAAGTTCATGTTATCCAAACAACCTCTGCTATTCATCAATTGCGTTACAGCCAATTCCCATTAACGAAACACACGTTATAGCAGAACTACCTGTGTTTATAAACAAAGCTTATGACGACTAACTCCATTATTGTTATAACATGCATTGACCAAAATGGTAGAAGGCCAACATATTAAATGGACAATATAGGAGCAAATTACTGCTGATACCAGAATCTGTACTGAAAACAAAATATGTTGGAGATCACAGCGGGTCAGCAGCATCCATGGAGAGAGAACAGGCTAACGTTTTGAGTCTAGATGACTCTTCATCAGAGCTCGTGTTAAATGGACAATAGCTTAGCATCTAGAAATTCCTAGATACCTGCTCATTTTTCAAAGGGCTTTGTTTTAAGATGAGGAATGGGGTATTGGAGCAACCAATAAATAAACACCTTGCCTGTAAAATTTCTACTATGTGACTTGTTTATTGTGGTATAGACTTGGCTTTTAAGGAACTTTAATTGTAGAGCTGGGGTGCCATTTTAAAAGGAGGAAGTTGCTCATTTAAGATAGCAATGAGGAGATTTGTTTTCTCTCAGAGGGTCGTATGTCTTAATGAGGGGGAGGGTTGATAGATTCTTCATAAGCAAGGGGGTGAAACATTATCAAGGGTACGTGGGAATGTGGAGAAATTAAATCAGCCTTGATCTTATTGAATAGCAGAACAGGCTGAAGGGCTGAATGGCCTGCTTTTGCTTCTAATTGTACCTTTCTAAGAGTCAAGGAGTTCAATTATCATAGAATCCTACAGCACAGGAAGAGGCTATTTGGCCCATTATCTCTCCCTGTTTTTTGAATGAAATATGTAATTGGTTCCACTCCGATGCAATTTCCTAGAGCACTGCAGTGTTTTCTTTTCCAACCATATGGAAATAATTTCTAAATTTCTAATTTCAGTCTAATTTTTTACAAAAAATATCCCCCAGTCTATTGTTTCACTTCCCACACTAATTTCCTCTCCTCCTTCAACTGTTGTCACTCTGCATTTCCTGGATTCTGACCCTTCTACCAGTGGAACCAGTCTCTCCTTCTTCACTATGTCAGAGCACTTTGTAGTTTTGAGCACATTTATTAAATTACCCCAGTGCTTCCCTGTTCCAGAATTCACTTTGTAAAACTCTCTACCTCGCTAGCCTGCCTACTTGACCAATGGACCCCTGTCCTACACAGATTTATGGAATGGATGCAGCAAAGAAGGAGGTTATTTTGGTGTCTGACCTGGCACTCTGCAAGAGTGCCCCCTCACTCCCACCCCGTGTAGCTGTGCAAAGTCTTGTTTGATGTCCATGACTGAATCAGTCTGTGCTATGCGCTCGGATCCCAGCCCCTCACTGTGTCAAGGAAGCTTTCCTCATGGCCCCATCAGCCAGTCCTCATCTAGCGACCTCTGGTTTCTCCATCCTTCCACCAATGGGAACGGTTTCTCCCTCTCTGCTCTGTGCAGTCCCCTCATAGTTTTGAATCTTCGCATGTAACTCAGTTTCGATGTAAGCTCCTGTTAAGAACTGTGGGGATTGTTCTATGACATTAAAGACTCTATATAATTGCAAAGTATTGTTTCCCAGATGTGAAATAATTGATTGAAGGTAGTGTACCAAGGATTAATTTGTCAACAAGGACCAGCTTGTTAGTCCCAATGGCTATTAATGTGCGCACCTTGATATGACTGTACATTACTGCTGTAAAGAAATTAAGACTTGTTTTAAAACTCATCTGTCTTAAACGAGAGCTTTGTTGGCTTTTAGTTGATGCTGATACATTCTTTTGTTTGTAGAGCCTCATTGGTGACATTAACAACGCCATGAAAACATTCCATAACTATTACCAGGTCTGGAAACAATATGGCGGCCTCCCTGAGTTCTACAGCATCCCTCAGGGTTCAACTGTGGACAAGCGAGAGGGATACCCACTGCGACCAGGTGAAGAAAGAAAGAAAGCTTTCATTTCACTAGCACCCTTTCACGTCCTTGGAAAAGCACTTCACGACCAAGTGTGACCGTTGTTTTTGATGTAGGGAAATGCAGCAGATAGTGTCTCATCACTTGTAAATGAGATGAATTAGCAGCTAATCTGTTAAATGCTAGTAATATGGTCCCATGACAACCATTACTGACATTCCCTTTTTATAAGTTTGTTGTGGATACATCATATGTTTTCTTGCCAACTTTTACCCTCCGGTTCGAAATCATTGATTCCATGCATTTAGGATGTCACGTGATACTTTGACCATGTGGCTATTATTGTGTGGAAACTTGACAGTAGAGCTATTTAACTGCAAGGGGCAGTGCAGCTAAACCCTACCTTGTTCTTATTTACCAATCCGCCAGGAGTCTCTAGATATCTCTAATTGGGGGTTAGCGCTGCTGCTTCACAGCGCCAGGAACCCGGGTTCGATTCCACCCTCGAGCAACTGTCTGTGCAGAATCCGCACGTTCTCTCTGTGTCTGGTGGGTTTCCTCCCACAGTTGGATTGACCATGCTAAATTGCCCATAGGTCAGTTAGCTATTGGAAATGCAGGGGTAGGGTAGGGGGTAGGTCTGGGAGGGATGCTATTTGGAGGGTTGGTATGGACTCAATTGGCTGAATGGCCAGCTTCCACATTGTAAATATTCTACTGATATTAACCGACAATTCTGGTTGACGTCTGTCTGAAAGGAAGGCATAATGACACCAATGATTGCAAGCTAATGGATGCCTGCAGCTCTTTCAACTTTTAAGTGGTCTTTTCAACCAATATGACACAGATCCACTGGCCAAACTTAGTGGGCTGTGAAAGGGGATATAGTGAAGCAATGGTAATGTCACTGCTAACCCAGAGAAACTACTTTTTAATAATAGTGACCATGAAACTATAGTCCATCATTGTATATTTTTTTTAAAAATCAGGTTCGCTCATGTCTTTCAGAGAAGGAAATCTGCTGTTTTTATCTGGTCTGACCTACATCTGAGCCCAGATCCATAATAATGTGGCTGACTATTAACTGGCCCCTGAAATAGCAACCAGTCAGATCGAAGGGCCACCAACACCCACATCCTAGGGAATCATTCTCAAAACTAAAAGAGAAGAAGCTGCTTAAGAGTTTGTGTGACACTGTGAACAAAAAGCACGCAACTGCCTAACTTTATTTTGGCTACTTCAGTTTGTCTTTGCTAAACAAACTAAAGTGGATTTCCTTGAGGTATTTGACTGTGGGGGCATCACAGTTGAACCTGATTGACGTGTCCCCACTTTTTCTCTAAGTGCATGTCTTCCAATAAAGATCTTTTCAACGGATGAGATAACAAGGTGTAGAGCTGGATGAACACAGCAGGCCAAGCAGCATCAGAGGAGCAGGAAGGCTGACGTTTCGGGCCTAGACCCTTCTTCAGAAATGGGAGAGGGGAAGGGGGCTCTGAAATAAACAGGGAGAGAGGGGGAGGCGGATAGAAGATGGATAGAGAAGAAGATAGGGGGAGAGGAGACAGACAGGTCAAAGAGGCGGGGATGGAGCCAGTAAAGGTGAGTGTAGGTGGGGAGGTAGGGAGGAGATAGGTCAGTCCAGGGCGGACGGACAGGTCAAGGGGGCGGGATGAGGTTAGCAGGTAGGAGATGGGGATGGGGCTTGAGGTAGGAGGAGGGGATAGGTGGGAGGAAGAACAGGTTAGGGAGGCGGGGACGACCTGGGCTGGTTTTGGGATGCGGTAGGGGGAGGGGAGATTTTGAAGCTTGTGAAGTCCACATTGATACCATTGGGCTGCAGGGTTCCCAAGCGGAATATGAGTTGCTGTTCCTGCAACCTTCGGGTAGCATCGTTGTGGCACTGCAGGAGGCCCAGGATGGACATGTCGTCTGAGGAATGGGAGGGGGAGTTGAAATGGTTTGCGACTGGGAGGTGCAGTTGTTTAGTGCGAACCGAGCGTAGGTGTACTGCAAAGCGGTCCCCAAGCCTCCGCTTGATTTCCCCGATGTAGAGGAGGCCACTACAGGAACAGCGGATGCATATACCACATTGGCAGATGTGCAGGTGAACATCTGCTTGATGTGGAAAGTCTTCTTGGGGCCTGGGATGGGGATGGGGGTGAGGGAGGAGGTATGGGGGCAGGTGTAGCACTTCCTGCCATTGCAGGGAAAAGTCCCGGGTGTGTTGGGACTGGAGGGGAGTGTGGAGCGGACAAGGGAGTCACGGAGAGAGTTGTCCCTCCGGAAAGCAGATAAGGGTGGGGAGGGGTATATGTCTTTGGTGGTGGGGTCGGATTGCAAATGGTGAAAGTGTCAGAGGATGATGTGTTGGATCCGGAGGTTGGTGGGATGGTACGTGAGGACGAGGGGTATTCTGTTTTGGTTGTTATTGCGGGGACGGGGTGTGAGGGATGAGTTGCAGGAAATGCGGGAGACACAGTCAAGGGCGTTCTCGACCACTGAGGTGGGGGGAACGTTGCGGTCCTTGAAAAACGAGGACATCTGAGATGTACAGGAGTGGAATGCCTCATCCTGGGAGCAGATGCGGCGGAGGCAAAGGAATTGGGAATAGGGGATGGCATTTTTGCAGGAAGGTGGGTGGGAGGAGGTGTATTCTAGGTAGCTGTGGGAGTCAAACCAAAACAGAATCCCCCTCGTCCTCAATGTACCACCCCACCAACCTCCGGATCCAACGCATCATCCTCCGACACTTCTGCCATCTGCAATCCGGCCCCACCACCAAAGACATTTTTCCCTCCCCACCCTTATCTGCTTTCCGGAGGGACCACTCTTTCAGTGACTCCCTTGTCTGCTCCACGCTCCCCTCCAGCCCCACCACACCTGGCACTTTACCCTGCAACCGCAGGAAGTGCTACACTTGCCCCTACACCTCACCCCCATCCCAGGCTCCAAGAAGACTTTCCACATCAAGCAGATGTTCACCTGCACATCTGCTAATGTGGTATACTGCATCCGCTGTTCTCGTTGTGGCCTCCTCTACATCGGGGAAACCAAGCGGAGGCTTGGGGACCGCTTTGCAGAACACCTACGCTCGGTTCGCACTAAACAACTTGCACCTCCCAGTCGCGAACCATTTCAACTCCCCCTCCCATTCCTCAGACGACATGTCCATCCTGGGCCTCCTGCAGTGCCACAACGATGCTACCCGAAGGTTGCAGGAACAGCACCTCATATTCCGCTTGGGAACCCTGCAGCCCAATGGTATCAATGTGGACTTCACAAGCTTCAAAATCTCCCCTCCCCCTACCGCATCCCAAAACCAGTCCAGCTCGTCCCCGCCTCCCTAACCTGTTCTTCCTCCCACCTATCCC